TATGCCTTTTCGTATCCAGTTTCAAGCAATGAACGTGACCTCACTGAGCATGGAGTTTGAAAGGGATGTGCTCTCCTGAGCTAGTAGCCTGCAGGAGCAGCTCTGGCACAGCATGTGTTCCTGTGTAGCCTTAGGCTTCAGCAGGTGTTTCCAGCTTCACCTTTCTCCTCCACTGGCTCCTCTTCTGCTGTGCCTTCAGCACTAACTTCTGTTCATCTTCAGAACCTTCCCACTTACTGTACTCTGTCTACCTTGTTGCTTCTCAGACCTGGAGATTTCCTCTCATCCTTCAGAACACCATTCAAAAGTGACTTCTGAGAGAAATATTTCCTCTTTAAACAGCCCGTATTCCGTGGTGCCAAATTTCTCCCTATTCTTCCACATTTCTATCTTTTGAATGAATCTTTTTGTTTTCTTCACAGCATTTAGGGAAATGAGAAAATGTCCAATTTTATTTATTAATTTAGTTATTATTGTTGCTTTTATCTAATAGAATTTATTCTTCCTCATCATGAGCATGTAATGTTTTTCCATCTGTTTGTGTCCTCTCTTATTTCCTTGATCAGAGGTTTGTAGTTCTCCTTGAAGAGATCTTTTCCATCCCTTGTTAGTTGTATTGTAAGTGGGAGTTTGGTCATGATTTGGCTCTCAGTTTGTCTCTTATTTGTGTATAGGAATGCTTGTGATTTCTGCAAATTGATTTTGTATCCTGAGACTTTGCCGAAGTTGCTTATCAGCTTAAGGAGGCTTTGGGCTGAGACAATGGGGTCTTCTAAATATATAATCATGTTGCTGTAAATAGGGACAATTTGACTTCTTCTTTTCCTAATTGAGTGACCTTTATTTCTTTTTCTTGCCTAATTTCTCTGGGTGGAACTTCCAATATTATATTGAATAGGAGTGGTGAGAGAGGGCATCCTTGTCTAGTGCCAGTTTTTCAAGGGAATGCTTCTAGTTTTTTGCCTATTCAGTATAATATTGGCTGTGGGTTTATCGCAAATAGCTTTTATTATTTTGAGATATGTTCTATCAATACCTAGTTTATTGAGAGTTTTCAGCATAAAGGGCTGTTGAATTTGTCAGAGGCCTTCTTTGCATTTATGGAGATAATCACGTGGTTTTTGTCTTTGGTTCTGTTTATGTGATGGATTACGTTTATAGACTTGCGTATGTTGAACCAGCCTTGCATCCCTGGGGTGAAGCCTACTTGATCATGGTGGATAAGCTTTTTGATGTGCTGTCGGATTCGATTTGCCAGTATTTTATTGAACATTATTGTATCAGTGTTCATCATGGATATTGGCCTGTAGTTTTCTTTTATAGTTGTGTCTCTACCAGGTTGTGGTATCAGAATGATGTTGGTCTCATAGAAAGAGTTAGGGAGGATTCCCTCTTTTTGTATTGTTCGGAACAGTTTCAACAGGAATGGTACCAGCTGCTCTTTGTACATCCGGTATAATTCGGCTGTGAACCCATCTGGACCTGGACTTTTATTTGCTGTCTCGACTTCAGATTTTGTTACTGGTCTATTCAGAGTTTCAACTTCATCCCTGCTTAGTCTTGGGAGTGTGCAAGTGTCCGGGAATTTATCCATTTCTTCCAGATTTATAGGACATCTATTTTTAAAGGAGTAATTGTCTATAATTTTGACCTGTTTACTTGTTGTAGGGGTAGCTTAGGGATAAAAGAAATGTCTAAGAGGAATGATTATTAATCTTAAATTTAAAAAGAGGAGTAAGGGGAATCTACTTTCTATTTGTTGGGCAAAATTTGGTTTAAAATTTATTTTAAGAAACCTCAAAGTCGTGTATTAATTAAATCATGTTAAAGCTATTTATTTAGTTACAAATACATACAAAGATATAAAAATATCTTCCTTTTTCTAATAAACGTATTATAAGTAAAGATGTACTATTCATAGGTAGAATTAGTATTTTGAGTTTTATTTCACAACGAGTAATTTTTCCCCATCCTTAATGGTAGGGTGAGGAGTGAACCTTGAAGGTGTGTCCTGAGAGATGATGTAAAACTGTGCAACCTTTGTGTACTTCTCTGAAGCACAGAAGGGTGCCGCCTCCTATCTGTTATCTTCCTTCTCTCAATTCTTTCATGCTTCCTTATTTTGGGTCCTGAAACTGCATTTCCCAAAACTGTATTAGCAGTTAAAGAGTGCCTTAGTCTCTGTTGCTACAGGACATTTTATTTTAAAAACTAGTATATCATTAAATAAAACTGTTGGACACCTAGTCTCAAAATAAGGCTGAGCAATGTTCCAGGTCAAAATGGATAATTTCAAGCTTTCGTTTTGGGTACCCTCATCTCCAGTTTCCATCAGTTTCTGTCCTCGGAATCTTTTGGCTTGCTTCATGGGCAACGCCTATCTCTACTCCTCTATTTGCATCCCCAGTTGACTGTTGTTCCATCTACTGCATGCTCTACCATGAATCTCAGAAGGATAATAGGTATCAGTCATGTATTAGGATAAATAAAGATACATATGAAATTACTGAATATTACGTAGTTTATTATGGTATGCAAGTCTTGAAGGTAGGAGAGAAAGGACCAAGGTACACATAGGTGAATGCTACTCTCAGGATGCTTGTCTTGGCCAGGCTTGGTGGCTCGCATCTGTAATCCCAGCACTTTTGGAGGCCAAGGCAGGCCGATCACATGAGGTCAGGAGTTCGAGATCAGCCTGGACAACATGGTGAAACTCTGTTTCTGCTAAAAGTGAAAAAGTTAGCTGGGTGTGGTGGTGGGTGCCTGCAATCTCAACTATTCAGGAGGTGAGGCAGGAGAATCTCTTGAACCTGGGAGTTGGAGGCTGCAGTGAGCTAAGGTCCAGCCACTGCACTCCAGGCTGGGCTACAGAGTGAGACTCCATCTCAAAAGAAGAAAAAATGATGCTTGTCTCCAAGATGGAGTACAAGACTAGTTAAAACATGAATAAATACAAATTTGAGCTATGGAAGCTAATAAATTGAGCTTCAAAGGTGTACACAGTACAATTTGGACACAGATCCTATGGATCATGTTGTCTGCAGTTTACAAAGGGGAAATGGAGGTTTGGAAAAAAGGAGTTTGCTGAAGATTTGTGTAGCTATCTCCAGAATGTTGAATGTAAGATTATTAACTTCCAAGACTCCTGTGCTTCTTTTCCATAGAATATGAGACTTGATGATACACAAGAGAGTAATAAGCAAATTCCCTGGGAAAACTAGTAATACCAACACCTTAGGTGGTAAATGAAAGGAGATTGTTTAGTGTAATATCCAATTGAGTTGATCAGGATTTAAGGAATTGGAATGGATTGGTGTGGCATCTACTTGGTTAACAAATAATTATGTTTCAGTAAACCTTAGAACACAAGTAGGAGAGTATAAAAATATGCCTGCATTTGTACCAATAATGGGAACAAAGGTAGTATGAGGAGTGGTTTTAGTTATGATACTGTTAGTACTGGTAGTATTATACAGCAGTAGTAAAAAGGCTACTGAGTATGAGACTGTGCTCAGTGTCTGACTGAAACTTCGTTATTTAATTTGGGCCTAATAATCACGTTTTTAAGCAGGCAAGTGTGACTCTTAATTTTATGGGTCACTTGGCTAGGCGATGATACTCAGTTGTTTGACCAAGCATCGATGTAGATATTGGCATGAAGATATTTCTTTTTAAAACATGTCATTAATATTTAAATCATAGTAGACATTCCTGAATAAAAACTGTCATTTAAATCAATATGGTTTGGATAGAGCAAATGATCCTTCACAGTGCACACAGGCTGTGTCCAATCATTTGAAGGCCTTAAGAACAAAGACTGAGGTTTACTGAAGAGGAAGGAATTCTGCCCCCGGACAGCCTTTAGACTCAATACCGAGCATTGAATCCTGCTGTAATTTCCAGCCTGTAAATCTGCCTCATCAACTTCAGACCTTCCAGCTCTCACAGTCTGGTAATTCCTTAAACTCTCTCTCTGCATATTTGCATGCACATGTGGGCACATAAATGCACACATGTACCCGTTGTTAATTCTTTCTCTGGAGAACTCTAATATGATTTTATCATCTGTGGTTGAAGATCCAAAATAAACAATATGCATCGTGTGCTGTATTGATCTTCATTTTGTTAGTTTGTCTGTGAAGAAAGTGCTTGAATTGTAAGAATCAACCAAATAAAGTATGTACTATGTGGGTACTATTCAAAAGCATGCATAACAGCCTCTTTCTGGGAAGTCCCTGAAGACAATGGTGAAGAGAATTTCTCTCATTAGGCAGAAATTTGAGCAGTGAGTGTCCCTAGTTATTAATTTTGCTTGGAAGGAGAAATGGCCAGATATGCAATTATACCGATTTCTAGGATGTGACCTATAAGGTCTGGGGCTTGGAAGGAACATGACTTATAAAATGATGACAAAGAAGCCTGGGAAAGAGGTATGTGGCTAGAGTTCTTTGAATGTATAAAATGCACGAAGATATTTGTACCCGATAAGCATGCTCACTAAACAGTTACCTCAGCAGAGGGAGATTTTAGTACTCAAGTGGATAGAAAGATGCATTTTCTTGATATGAGTCGCCTCTTTCCCTGGACACTCTGGTCATTACCTAATTGGGACATGAGCAAAGTGGTCATGGTGGCAGGAACTGGGTTATGCATGGGCTCAGCAATGTGGACTTCTACTCACTAAGGTTGACCTGACTACAGCCACTGCTGAGTGTCCACTCGACCAGCAGCAGAGAAGAAAACTGAGCTCCCAATATGGCACCATTTCCAGGATTGATTAGCCAGCCACCTAGTGGCTGATTACCTTGAACTATTTCCATCATGGAAGAAGTAGCATTTTGTTTTTACTGAAATGAACACTTTGGATATAGATTTGACAACTCTATACTCGATGCTCCTACCAAGGCTGTCATCTGTGTGGTATTAGAGAATGCATTATCTGTCACCATATCATAGTATTCCAGACAACATTGCTTCTGATCAAAGAACTCACTTCACAGGAAATGAAGTGCCACAAGAGGCCATGCTGACGAAGTTGACTAGTCTTGTTGTTTACCATCCTGAAGCAGGTAGCTTAATAAAAAGGTGGAATGGCCATTAGAAGACTCAGCTACAGTGGAAGGTAGGTGACAATACCTTGTAAGGCTGGGATGAGATTGTCCAGAAATCTATATATGCTCTAAATCACTGTCTAATATAGCTAGAATTCACAGGTCCAGGAATCAAGGGTGGAAATGTGAGTTGCATTAGCCTCTATTACCCATAGTGATCCACTAGCTCAAATTTGCCTCCTGTCTGCCTGTCTTGTGCTCTGCTGAACTAGACATCTTAATTCCAATAGGAAATAGTCAGATGAACTCTCAGGTGGATGGTTCACCTGTGCTTCCTAGTGAGACTGAGAGGGAGACAAATTTATTTTGTTGATTCTCCATATACAGGGGCTCTCTTCATAGATAAACCAACAAATTGAAGACCAGAATGCCATCTGATACATATTTATTTACTAGCATCATCAACAACAGATAGCAAAATTGTATTAGGGTTCTCCATAGAAACGGCACCAATAGGATGTATGTATGTAAATGCATGCACACACACACACACACACACACACACACACACACGCAAAATAAGAGAGAGATTTTTAAGGAACTGGGCTAGGTAACGTGGAGACTGGCCAAGTCTGAAATCCATGGGGCAGGCCGGTAGGCTAGAAGTCTCAGCAAGAGTCAGTGTTATAGTCTTGAGTCTGAAGGCAGTCAGGAGGTAGAATTCCTTCCATTTTGGAAATCCTCAGGCTTTGTCCAACAGATTGCATTAGGCCCACTCACACCGTGAGGGATAACCTTCACTCAAACTCTACTGATTTAAATGTTAATGACATCTAAATTATATCTTAACAGCGACATCTAGACTAGTGTTTGGGAAAAGTCCGGATAGCATAGCCTAGCCAAGTTGACACATAACATTAACCATCACAAGTATACATTTTATACTCTCTTTAGTAGATGTGAACGCTGATATTCCAAGCTAACACATAGCTTTCTAAAATCATATAACTTATAAATGGCAGAATCAGGATTAAAATCGTTTTGCATCTGAATAAAAACCTACTTTTCCACAAATATTTCTTTATATTAACTAATCTTATAGAATACTTTAAAATAGTATTCAAGATACTAACATTGCTCAGGTATCTTGAGCAATAAATTTAAGTCAATATATTTCCCCATTTTATTGTGTAAGTGATTATGGAACACTTGAGTCTATATCGCTATAGCACAGTCCAGAATCCTCAATTCTATAGCAACCACTATCCATGTTCATTTGAATGAAGACTGATCTTAATATTGACTCTTAGTGTATAAAAGCATAATGAGAAACAAATGAAAATAACTATGGGTTGGGTATCAAAAGTAAATAAATTATTGAACTGTATGGACCACAGAAGGCTCAAGAATGTTGGAATGAAAAAGAAAAAAAAAATTGTATTGGCTTTGATTTATCATCTGGAAAAAGAAAATTGATTCTCTTTGTTATTTTTTCCTGTTTCAGCATCACAAGTTGTTATATGTGAAAATATTAAGAATTAAATGTTCATAGACATAGTTTTTTATATTTACACATATATCTTCACAATATTTAAGCATGTTATAGTTCTTCACAGTATCATTATTTAGGTATATTTATGACCTACCTATTTTCTTAAAGGCAATTTTTACTTCTCATGTAAATGCAAACTTTGTTTTGTTTTGTCTGTGTTTCTTTACACTTTGATATGTTGTTTGAGTTCTATGTGCTCTATGATAATATTTATATGTATATATATATACAGGCTTTACTTTTGACTTATAAATTATTCAACAAAATTTCTTTTCCAGGTTGTTCTTTGAAGGTGCTATACTGTGAATAACTAAGGTGAAATTTTATGGTAGAAGGAATGATTCTCTTTCTCATGCATTTGATATAGAAAACTTTAAAGGTGTGGTTTATCCTTTGGAATGTGCCTTGACCCCATGATATGTGGCATAGAATTATGAAGACATAGAGGTTATGTGAACATCTTTCCTTGAAAGTTGCAATACTTTGTTTTACTTTTTCACATTTTATGATATAAAAGCTTAGAATTTTTTTCAAATAAAATTATAGTTTTGTAATGAAAAGTTATCAATTCTTAAATATTCTATAATAATATATTTTAGCCAGTTTCTAAAATATCATCATTAGACAGTCAGCTGGTGTGTGTGTATATATATGCAAGAAAGAATTGCTGTACTGTTTTAGAAGTATCACTAGCAAGCTAAAATTTCAAATAAAATACTTCAATTTTATTTCTCACAAGATTATTTTTAAACTCTTCATTTACCTTCTGTGACTCTATATTTTATCCTTCATATGGTTAGCTATAGATAATAGTAATTTATAAGTTAATAAAGGGGTGGAGACAGCATATAGTTCTTTCCAATTTTCCTTTCTTCAAACAAATAGCAAGCTGCCTTAAAATTGTTCTTATTTGGACCGGCAAGTATGTTCCAGCATACTCAATTACATGGTAACAAACTCTAATATGCACACACAAAAATCACCTTGAAGCTTTGTGCATATATGCATTGCAAATGAGATGGGAGTTGTTTAATGGAATGTTTTGCGGCAATGCTTTTAAGGATGTAAACTACATAATACAGGCTTTGTAGACGGGGTCAGGCTTGACATCTGTTGGGCACCAATTATTGATAAATAGTAGGCGAGAACATGTTATTAGAGATTTACATAAGGAGATTATGGTGGTCAGCCAGTCTTAAAGGCAGCAGTACCCTGGAGATCATGAGTCCCCAGCAAACGGGCACAACTAGCTGTCAGTGTGATTTGACAGAACACAAAGAGATTCCAGAAAGAGTCACGAAGTACTTGAGTTTAACTCCAAGAAGTATGGACACCAAGGGAACTATTTTAGGAACCTGCAGGGTATATGCTAAGTTTGTCCTTTGCCTGAGGTAGTCACCAATTATGTATGCTATAAATGCAAGCTAGTCTGTCTGCTAAAGGACAAGGTTAAAGGGCACCAGGAAGATCTCTCTGCGTGTGGAGGTTTTTAAGAGGCTAAAAGGCTAAAACTGTGTCAAGAAAGAATATGGGAAATAATGCTGGACTAAAACCAGAAAGAAAAATATGCCAAAGGAAAGAGACAATATCAATGAAAATAATATGTGAGAGAAAGAAAAATTAACAGAGAAGAAAAAAGGAAGGAAATCTAGGCATCTATTTATAAACAATCACAGATCATATCAAATAAAGAGTGAATTAAGAAAAGTAGAAGCTGCAGAATTTGATGTTTCATCTGCTAATCAAGATACTAACAAAGACAAGCAAGTAGATTGGACCTTTTGTTAACTAATATTCCTCAGTCATTCACTCATTTATTCTAGTAATTCAAGTATCACTAAATGTTGTAGTATGTGGTACTTTCCAGCTCAGGAATATGGTGTTTTGACTTGTAGATATGACATGACAAATGGCGTGCGCTTTACCTGGAAAGAATATGTGTAACATGGGGGACAGAGCCAACCCATTTAACTTAAGACTTTTAACAGATTCTGCTGATCTAAAGTCTTTCTCCAGTGATTTTTATGATTCTGTGCAGAAAATGCCGTATGTTAGGCATGGCAAGGGCTTTTCCCTCTTATTTTTATTGCAAGGTATAGATCTGGAGAACAGATATAGGAAAGAGGAATTGAATATTTATTATGTTAAAAGATATTTGGACAATACATTTTGATAGTAGAAAAACTTACTCTATAAAAAATGACAGAAAATAATGAGGTGGGAGAAATAATCAACTGATAAACCATGTTAAGATACATTGTAAAGAAGGAAGAAATATAGGTAAATTTCTCAAATTAGATCCTTTAGAAGACATAAGGTATTTCAAGTGAAATGAAAGAGGTTCTGGTGCTACATAATGATGTAGTTTGGATATTTATCTCTGCCCAGATCTCACGTTGAACTGTAATCCCCAATGGTGGCGTTAGGGCCTGGTGGGAGGTATTTGGATCATGAAGACAGACCTGCACCCGCCCCACCCCACAGCTTAGTGCTGTCTTCATTATTGGGAGTTATTGCGAGATCTGGTCATTTAAAAGTGTGCCGCACTTCTCACCTCCCCAACTCTCTGTTTCTCCAGCTTTCCCAATGTGATGTGCCTGTTACCGCTTTGCCTTCTGCCATGACTGGAAGTATCCTGAGGCCTCCCCACAAGCAGATGCTACTACTCTTCCTGTATAGCCTGAAGAACCATAAGCCAATGAAACCTCTTTTCTTATAAATCACCCAGTTTCAGGCCGTTGTTTACAGTAGTGCAAGAACAGCCTAATGCACATGACTGTTGATAGAGAATAATAGGAATAAGTGCTAAGAATAATACTTGTCATCTTACCCACAGTTTGTATATAAATTAATGGACAAATAACTTAAATAGAAGATACAGAAACTTCCAATTTGCAGTCCAGTGTGTAAAGAGCTCAGAGGTTCCCACTCTTCCTAACAAGATGTAAAAAGCTGAACAAACCAAGAAATCAAAAACTCTTTTTAGATCCATAGGAGATGTGAGATTACAGGGCAAACCACTGCCCTCAAAATTAGAGATGCCTTCAAGCAAATGCGGAGAATCACAACTTACTGCAGCAAAACCCATGTGCAGAAAGCAACACAGAAATGAGTACAGGGTGGGAAACCTGAGATGTATCAGTGAATTACTAGAGGCTCAGTGTGCTGAAGTCTGAGCCAGTCATAAGGACGTCCCCACCGTTGGTGAATGTAATATCCTGAAGCTTGACTTTGTACTTATGGTAAATATCAGAAAAAATGTTTCATTCTCCTTACAGGGAAAAGGAAAAATAACCATTTTGAAATATGCTAGACATTCTTTTCTTCTCAACAAGGTCTTCACTAAGAAAAAAAAACTAATTAACTAGAGCCAAACTTGCTGGGGTTTTACTAGAGCCTAATCTATAGGGAGAAAGGGAATACACAAGTTCCGTCTATAATAGGCTTCAATGTGGAGAAGAGAAATACTCAACTGCAGCCCATTTTAGCCTTCCTGCCTCACTTAAAAGGGGGTATAAAAGTACATGTGATATTCATAGTCCAGAAACAGGATTATTAAAAGATTAAGACCTAAGTGTAGGATCATAGAATGCTTTCCTTCTCCCCACACCTGACTGCTACATTACAAAGTCCCATTTACAGAAGCTCCGTTTACACAGTGTATCATTCCTGGCTATCAATAATAAATTACAAGGCATACTAACAGGAAAAAACATAGTTAGAACACATAGAGCAAAATAAAAACCAGACTCAGGTATGGCAGGGGTGTGGGAACTAGACTAAGAATATGCTAGAGGCAAATTCTTCCCTAGTCCTTCCTCATAATGGCTCCTAAGGATGCAGAGGTTGTGAAAACGAGTGGTAGTTACTAATTATGATGACCATACTTTGAATTTGTTACACCTTTCTTTATAGTAAGACACCAACTACTTAAGACAAAAACATGTTTTTGGCATTACGTTGCTTGATGTTCTCTAAGCTTCCTGAATCTGTGGTTTAGTGTTCAACATTAAAGGAAACGCTGTAATTAACATCCTTACATAAAAGGAACACTTTAAAAGGTGCATTTTCTCTAAAAAATGGATTAAACTCAAACTCATATGGCGTAGCAGATGTGTTCATAAATGAACTTATGACATTAAAAATATGCTAAGGGCTCTAATGAAAAAAGTGGACAGCATAAAAGAACATATGGGAAATGTAAGCAGAGAGATGGAAATTTTTTAAGAACCAGAAAGAAGCACTGGAGATTTAAAATATTGTAACAGAAATGAGGACTGCCTCTTGAAGGGCTTATTAGTCAATAATGCAAAGCTTGAAAATATCACTGTGGAAATCCCCAAAACTGAAAACAACAATGACAAAAGGAATAGACTATCCAAGAACAGTGAGATAGCTACAAAAGTGAATTGTATGTAATGTAAAAACCAGAAGAAGAAGAAAGGAAAAGAAATATTTAAAGCAATAGTTGCAGCGTTTCCTTTAACATTGGACACCAGACCACAGATTTGGGAAATTCAGAAATCATCAAGTGGCATAATGTCAGAACAAAATGTAAAACAAAACAACATATTTAGGCACATAATTTCAAAGATAGAAAATTACAGATACAGCAAGAGTACCTATGTAAACATACACAAGTTTCTAATGTGTAGGTTGCTAATAGCAGAACACCAAAATATACGAAGAAAAAACTGACAGAAGAGCAAGAAGAAATAGATGAATCAACTAGTATACAATTATCGTTGTAGACTTCAACAACCTTCTATCAGTAATTGACAGATTCAGTAAGCAGAAAATTAGTAAAGGTGTAGTTGAACTCAGCAACACTATAAATAAACTGGATATCTTGCACATCTATAGACTGTTTCTTCCAATAATAGCAGATTACACATCTCTGGCCACATGGAACATTCATCAACGTAGATCACTTTCTGGATGATAAAAGACATCTTAATACATTAGAATAAAATAAAACTCAATCAATGTCTTCTCTCAATTGATAATGTAATTAAACTGGAAACCAATAATGGAAAGATAGCTGAGAAAGCCCAAAATATTTGAAGATCACATACACACTAATAAAAAACACATGGAGTAAAACGTCTTAAGATAAATTTTAAAATATTTTGAACTAAGTGAAAATAAAAATAGAAGCTGTCAAAATGTGTTGGATGCAGAAAAAGGAGTGCTTAGAAGAAAATATGTAAAACTGCATATATTAGAAAAGAGGAAAGATCAAAAATCAATATTCAAAGGTTCCTCCTTAAGAACAAAAAAAACAGAGCAAATTAAATCCAAAGTACGCGAAATAAAACAAATAATAAAAATAAGAAAGCCAGCTGTATTGGCATGCAGTTAATAGTCCTATCTACTCATGAGGCTGAGGTGGGAAGATCACTTTAGCTTAGAGTAGAGTCTAGCATGGGTAGTATAGCAAGACCCTGTTGAGAGAGAGAGAGAGAGAGAGAGAGAGAGAGAGAGAAAAAGAGAGAGAGAGAGAGAGAAGAAACTAGTGAAATTAATAACCTAAAATCAACAGGGATAATGAAAATAGTATAAGCCCATAGCCAGGCAAACTAAGAAAATAAGGGAGAAGACACAAATGCACTGATATCAGAAATAAACATGAAATAGCAATACAAACAACATGGACATAAAAAATATTGCTAACTCTATGCCCACAAATCTGATTAACCTACATATAATGGGTCAACTCTGTAAAGTCTCAATCTATCAATGATCACACCAGAAGAAATAGAGTTTCTAAGAAGGAGTATTTTTATTGAAGAACTGAATCAATAATTAGTAACCTTCCCAAAGACAGCACAAGGCCCAGATGGATTCACTGGTGCAATCTACCAAACATTAAAGGAAGACAGTTTATCAATTATTTACAACAGAGGCAAAAGGAGTATTTTTAACTCATTATATGAAGCAAGCATTACCCTAATACACAAAACAGAAAAAGACAATACAAGAAAACTAAAACCCAATATATTTTATAAACATCAATGCACACATCCTTAACAAAACATTAGCAAATTGAGTCCAACAATGTATAAAACGAATTATGTATCATAACAAAGGAGGATTTATTTATCTCACTGATGAAAGGAGAATTTAACATGTGAAAATCAATTAATCTATCATATTAATAAGCTAGATAGAAAGAAAATCACATGAACAAATCAATAGATTCAGAAAAAGCATTTGAAACAATTCAACACCATTTAGTGATTAAAGACTTGGAGTTAACTTCCTCTAACTGGGGGTAAACTTCAACTTCGTATAAGACATCTGCAAAAACCCTACCACCGACTTAATAGTGAGAAATTTTAAACTTTCCCACTAAGATCAAGAACAAGGCAATAATATCTTCTCTTACCACTGCTTTTCAGCATCTTATTGGAAGTCCTACTTAACGCAGTGACAATAAATGAAAATAAAAGGTATACACATTATGGAGGAGGAAATATAACTGTCATTGTGTGCAGATGACATAATCATCTACGTGGAAAGTTGAAAAGAACTGACAAATTTTTTTCTGTAACTAATAAGCAATTATAGCAAGGTGGCAGGACACAAAGTTAATATACAAAAGTCAACCACTTTCCTATATAGCTGCAATGAACAATCAAATTTGAAATTAAAAACAGAACACTGTTTACATTAGCAATCAAAAATGAAATACTTAGACATAAATCTAACAATGTAAACATACAAAATCTATATGTGCAAAATTACAAAATCTGATGAAGGAAACTGAAGTAGAACCAAATAAATGGAGAGAATTCCAGATTTATGAACAGGGAGACTCAGTGTAGTCAAGATGTCAGGTTCTTTTTTTTTTTTTTCAAATTTATTAATAGATTTCATGCATTCCCAATCAAAACCCAGGCAAGGTATTTTGTATAAACATACTGATTCTAATGTTTATAGCAAGAGATAATATACTCAGACAGAAGAGAAAACAATATTGAAAGAGACGGAAAAGATGGAAAGATTGACACTATCTGACTTAAAAACTTGTTATAAATTGCAGTAATCAAGACAGTGTGGTATTGTCAGAAGAGTAAACAGATCACTGGAACAGAATGGGGAGCTTAGAAACAGACCTAATAAATACAGTCAACTGATCTTTAAATAATGAACAAAAGCAATGTCATGAAGGGAAGGCAGTTTTGTTAAACAGTTGGTGCTGGAACAAATGAACATCCTCATGTGGGGAAAAATAGGGAATTTAAAAACATATGTTCCACTTGACAAAAATTAACTCAAAATGGATATTAGACCTAAATGTAGAATGGAAAATGGTAAATCTAAAAGGCAGCATAAGAGAAAATCTAGATGACTTTGAATTTGTTGATGAATTTTTAGATATATTGTCAAAAGCATTATTAATAAAAAGGTAATTCGTAAGCTAGAATTTAATTAAAATTAGAAATTCCTGCCCTGTGAAAGATACTGCCAAGAAATGAAAAAAGAAGCCATATACTGGGAGTAAATATGTAGAAACAAATAAACAAAATATCTAACAAAGGACTGTTATCTAAATTATTCAAATAACTCCTAAAACTCAACAAGAAGGAAACAATTCAACAAAATTGTGAGCTAAACACCCTAACAGACACCTCACCAAAGAAGATACAGGTTGAAAATCTTTAATCCAAAAATCCAAAATCAAAAATGCTCAGAAATTCAAAACTTTTTGAGTGCTAATATGACAGCAAAACTGGAAATTTTCACACCTGACCCCATGTGACAGACTGCTGTCAAAACACGGGTGCACAACACATAGTTTATTTAGCACTCCCAAGGGAAAGAAAACACTACGAGCTCTCTCTTCAGCTTCTTATGTCTTTGTGTGCATGCTTAGATTTCCCAAGAAAAAACACACAAAAGTACACCCACAGAGAATAATAACTCATGTTTGCCCAAGCCCAAACATGTCGAAGACATTTTCCCCACAATACCCCACCTGGGACCAAAGCTTACATACATACATCACTCGCTGTGTTTTTTTTCCCCCTATTCTGTTATATGATGCAAAGATACTGTTGAAAATGTTAAAAAGACCTGCAGATACCCTAATGGGTAACAGTGATACGAAAATGGAAGAAGTATTTATTTTTATCTACACCACAAAATGTCAGGCTATTGAAGAAAACTGGACGGTGTTGTAAGTGTAAAACGTCTTATAGAAGAGTTTGATATTTGAATGGCCACCATATATGGCCTGAAGAATCAGATGGACAAACTATTGAAATTCTATGCTGAAAATGATGAATAGAAATTAATTAAAATAGAAAAACATTGCATAAAGGTAAAAATGAAGATCTTGATTGGGTATTGAAAGTGTGTATCCATCAGCACTCCAGTGAACACATGCCAGGTGATGGTATGCTGATAATGAAACAATCATCTGTCATAACGGATTGAGAACTGAAGAGCATTATTAACATTTAACAGGCTGATTGTATAAATTTAAGAAAAGGCATGGCATCATTTTTTTTTTTTGAAGAATTGTGGTGACAGAGCATCTGCTAAACATGAAGCAGTGGAGAAATTTATGAGTTTGCCAAAATCATCACTGATGAAAATCTGACAGGAGAATAAGTCTGTAGTGCTGATAAATTATCACCATTTTGGTGTTGTTGCCCCAGACTGTAGTCTGATAAATCATCACCATTTTGGTGTTATTGCCCCAGAAAGACACTGATTGCAGCTTATAAGATAGCTCTTACAGGAATTAAAAATGCCAGGTGCAGAGTAACTGTGTTTGGATGTGCTAATGTAGTAGGCCTGCATGGTTGTAAACTTGCTGTGATATGCAAAAACTTGTATTCTTACTATTCTTACGGAGTGAATTTCATGCCAGGTCATGATGAAGTTAAGAAAAAGGCATGGATCACCAGGGACATCTTTTCTGACTGGTTTCCCAAACATTTTCTGAGTGGCTTATGCTCACTTCAACTAAAATGAACTGGATGGCAACTGTTGGATTTTGTTATTCCTTAACAACTCTTCTACTCGTTCTCCAGCTGAAGTATCAGAAATAATAGTTATGGCATGTATTAGGCTGGTGCAAAAGTAATTGCAGTTTTTGCTAATACTTTCCCTTAAATGTGACTTCATTAATTTAGCCATGTGTCCAAAGTATGCTTACATCAATGAGGAGTAATTATAAACACACTTTTCTGAATAAAATGCCAGCTACACTAAACAAAGGTGTGTTTGTGGAAAGTTTTTCAAAGAAATTTTGCATAAAGGATTCTGTATATATTGTTACCAATACTTGGAACGCAGTGACTGAAGACAGTAGTGTATTCTTGACACAGTCTCTGGCCTGCAATTATGTTCCACGTTGATAATAAACAAAGTGGTGATTTTGAAGAAATCTGTATATCGAAAGAAAAAATTATTTCCCTACATAAGCAAAAATATACCTTGAGAGTCTGTCAGTAAGCTGTAAGTAATAAATATAGAAAAAGTTTTAACGCTGATTATGTGGCTTCAGTTGTCCATTTATTGAAACATAGCCAAAAATTTTTTTGAATAAAGTGATTATGACATTAGTGATAATGAATGTGGCATTGTTAACACTACAGAAAAAGTGCCTTTAGACATGATAAAAATGTGACAGGCTTATTGAAGGACTAGAGCAGTATACATTTATAACTGAACAAGAAACAATGTCAGTGCATAAAAATAAAGACTTACTTCTAAGACAAAAGTCATTGCAGATGAGTCTACACGAAACACTTTTCAAACGCCATCCAGCTGAATGGCTTCTCTTCTGTAGAGGACCCAGTTCCTGTTTCCTCAACTGCTTCTGATGTTTCTTCTCACCTGAAGAAAAACACAGTACAGCAAACTTAATAAAAACACAGCATCGGTCGGGCATGGTGACTCAAGCCTGTAATCCCAGCACTTTGGGAGGCCGAGGCAGGTGGATCACGAGGTCAAGTGATCGAGACCATCCGGGTCAACATGGTGAAACCCCGTCTCTACTAAAAATACAAAAATTAGCTGGGCATGGTGGCGCGTGCCTGTAATCCCAGCTACTCAGGAGGCTGAGGCAGGAGAATTGCCTGAACCCAGGAGGCAGAGGTTGCAGTGAGCCGAGATCACGCCATTGCACTCCAGCCTGGGTAACAACAGCGAAACTCTGTCTCAGAAAAAGATAATGTTCTGAGAAACAAAATATTAGACCATTCATATAAAGAGAAAAACCATTTTCTATTCTAACTTTGATTATAAAGTATGTGCATGATACAGTGAAGGTGAAATGTTTCTGTCCAGGCAACTACAAAATATCTCATTCTAGTTTATAGTAATATGACTTGAAGTCTGTTTTATCTGATACGCATATAGCTACTCCTACTCTTTTTTTTACTGTCATTTGTGTAAAGTATATTTTTCCATGCCTTCATTCTCATTCTGTGTATCTTTACAGTGAAGTGAGTTTCTTGTAGGCAGCATATAGGTGGGTCTTTTTATTTTTAAATCCATTCAGTCAGTCTGTCGATTAATTGGAAAATTTAGTTCATTTATATTCAATGTTATTACTGATAGGTAAGGATTAACTACTTCCATTTTGTTATTTGTTTTCTGTTGTTTTTTTTTTTTAACTCTTCTCTTTCTTAACATCCTTTTTTTTTTTTTTGGTTAAGTGATTTTCTCCTGTAGTGTGTCTCCATTCCTTGATTTTCATTTGTAGCATGTCTATTATATGTTTTTCCTTTGTAGTTGCAAAAAGGGCTTCAAAAAATCTCAGAGTTTTAAAAAGTTATTTTAAACAGAAGGCAACTTAACCTTGATCACACACACACAGAAATAAAAAGAAACAAAGCCTGAATTCAGCCAAAGCAATCCTAAGAAAATTATTGATCTTAATTATTGTAGCCTATACTTTGCCTGACTTCAAAGTATAAGGCTACAATAATGAAAATCAAATGGTACTCTGGTACAAAAACAGACAAACCAATCAACAAAATAAGCAACCCAGAAAAAATGTCATACATATACACCATTTGATTTTCAACGAAGTCAATACCAATGAGCGATGAAGAAAGGACTCCATGTTAAATAAACGGTGCTGGGATCGCTGACTAGCTATTTGCAGAACAATGTAACTGGTCCCCTCCCTTTTGCCATAAACAAATGTTAACTCAAGATGGATTAAAGATTTAAATGTAAGGCCTCAAACTATAGGAATCCTAGGAGAGAACCTCTGGACATCAGCTTTGGGAAAAGAATTTATGACTAAGTGCCCAAAAGCAATTGCAACATAAATAAAAACTGAAATGTGGAACCTAATTAAAGTAAAAAGATTCTGCACAAAAAAAGAAACTTCAACAAAAAAAAACAGACAACATACAGAATGGGATAAAAATTCACAGACTATGACTCCAACGAAGATCTAATATCCAGAATACATAAAGAATGTAAACAATTCAGCAAGCAAAAAAGAAATAACCCCATTAAAAAGTGAGCCAACAACATGAATAGACAGACACTTTTCATAGGAAGACATACAAGTGGCCAAGAAACATAAAAATGCATTCAACATGACTAATCTTCAGAGAAATGAAAATCAAAACCACAATAAGTAACCATCTCACACGAGTCAGAATGGCTATTATTAAGAAGTCAGAAACAACAGATGTTGACAAGGCTGTAGAGGAAAGGGAACATTTATTAACTGTTGGTGGGAGTGTAGATTAGTTCAGCCACTGTGGAAAGCATTTTAGAGATTTTTCAAAGCACTTGCAAGAGAACTACCATTTGACCCAGCAATCCCATTACTGGGTATATAACTAAAGGAAAACAAATCATTCTACCAAAAGTCGCATGCATTCATTTGTTCATTGAAGCTATTCACGATAGCAAAGACATAGAATCAATTTAGGACCCATGAAAGTTGGATGGGATAAAGAAAATGTGGTACATACAAAGCATGGAATAATAAGCAGCCATAAAATAGAACAAAATCATATTCTTTGCAGCAACATGGATAAAACTGAAGGCCATTATCCTAAGTGAAATAATACAGGAGCAGAAAACCAAATACCACCTGTTCTTACTTATAAGTAGGACCTAAACATTGGGTAAACATAGACATAAAGATGGCAAAAAAGTTGCGGGGGGGGGGGACTGGGACTACTAGCAAAAGGAGTGAGGAGGACAAGTGTTGAAAATGTAACTCTTGGGCACCATGCTCACTGCCTGAGTGACTGAATTAATTATAGCCCAATTTTCAGCACCATGCAATATATCCATGTAACAAACCTGAACTTGTATTCTCTGAATCTAAAATAAAAGTTGAAAATTTTTTAAAAAAAGAAAAGCAAAAAATAAACCAAAAAAACACTACACTTTAACTCCATCCTCCAACATTTTCACGTTTTTTATCTCAATTTACATATTTTTATATTTGCCTATCTCCTAAAAAATCATTATAGTAATTTTTGATACATTTGCTTTTTTGTCTTAATACTAGAGATATGAGTGCTTTACACACCACAATTACAGTATTAAAGCATTCATTCAGGACCTGGCACGGTGGCTCAAACCTGTAATCCCAGAAATTTGGGAGGCTGAGGCGGGGGGGATCACCTGAAATTGGGAATTTGAGACCAGCCTGGCCAACATGGAGAAACCCCACCTATAGTAAAAAACACAAAATTAGCTGGATGTGGTGTCACATGCCTGTGATCCCAACTACTCCGGAGGCTGAGGCAGGAGAAACACTTGAACCTGGGAGGCGGAGGTTGTGGTGAGCTGAGATCACGCCATTGCACTCCAGCCTGGGCAACGAGAGTGAAACTCCATCTTAAACATTTTTAATTCTAAAAAAAAAGGCATTTATTCAGAATTTTTCTATGTACTTACTTTTACCAATGAGCTTTATATCTTTAAATGATTTTCTGTGTTTCATGTTAACATCCTTTTCTTTCTGATGGAAGAACTCTCTGTAGCATTTATTAGAAGATGGATCAGGTGGTGATGAAATACCTTAGCTTCCATTTGTCTAGAAAAGTATCTCTTCTTCATGTATGAAGGGTAACTTTGTTTCATAATTTATTCTCAGCATTTTTTCTTCATCAGTTTGTATCAAATGTATCACCCATTTCCTCCTTGCCTTTATGGTTTCTGCTGGGAATTCTGCTGCCAGACAAATCAGAGCTCATTCACATCTTATTTGCTTTTTTCCACTGATGCCTTTGAATATTTTTTTTGTCCTGATACTTGAGAGTTTGATTATTTTATGCCTTGGAGTAGTGTTTCATAGGCTGAATTTGTTTGGTAATCTTTGACCTTCCTGTACCTTATATTTATGTCTTTCTCTAGGTGTGAAAGTTTTCTGATATATATATATATTTAATTCCCTACCACTTTCTTTTTTTCAAATTTCTCTTTAAGGTCAATGACTCTTGGCTTTATTCTTTTAAGGCTATTTTCCAGATTTTGCAGACATTTTTAATTCCTTTTCATTATTATTTTTCTTTTTTATGTTTGAGTACATATTTTCAAATATTGTGTCATCAAACTCACAAAATCTTTCTTCTGTTTGATCAGTTCTGTGGTTGAGACCTTCTAATACATTTGTTATTTCAGCCAATGTATTTCTTAGTTCCAGAATTTCTGTTTACTTTTTTTTGTTTTAATCTCTGAAAAATTTCTGAGTTGCTTGTTTGTGCTATCTTGCATTTTGCTGAGTATCCTTAACATTCTTATTTTGAATTCTGTTGATCTGAACGCTCACATCATCTTGCTGGAATCAGACACTGGTTCCTTACTTTGTCCATTTGGGGAGATTCCTAGTTTGCTGTCGTCATTTCTATGAATGTAAGCCTATTTCTTTGCATTAAGTGATTCGTTTTTTATTCCAGTATTTGCTTTTGGGGCTGGTTTGGTTTCTCTAGTATATGTGTGTTTAAAGAGTCTGTGCAGTCTGCATGTTGATACCTTTAGCTCTAGGTCACTCCCTCTTTTGCCACTAGGTGGCACCCGAACCCTGTTTTGCCACAGCTCTAGCAAAAGTTTGCAGGCCTGCTTGTCCCAAATGAGTAGGATCCCAAAGGGTATGTCTCAGCTGTGTGGGAAGACTGGCTAGGGGTCCTTGTCCAGATGGCCCATAGAATGTGCCTCTCACAGAATGATGCTGCTGAATCACCTCTCTGATTTGACATTTTCTTTGTCTGAGTTTCATCTCCTGGGTCTACTAGCCTCACCTCCACCGTCTGTCTCCAGCTGCCCTCTCCCTCAGGCACTCACAAGTGTTCCCACAGATTGAGGGAGGAATGGTTTTACTGTGTAGGGACCAAGATGATTGGGAAACAGGCTATGTGCCTCAATCTCTCTTCATCCAGTATGGAAATTGTGAATCCAGGAGACTTTTCTGCATGCTAGATACGGCATTGCAAACAGAGAAAAAAAAAAAAACTTTGCGGCATTGCAAAACACTTTTCTGTTGGTAGGAGCCGCATTGCAAACAGAGAAGTCCACTTCTACATTCTGCTCATGGTTTTTCACTTCTCTGTGGCTCCAGGATTCACCTCAGACTACATCGTGAGTTCTGGGAAATGGTTGGTGATAATTGTGGCACTGAATAATTGCTTTTGTTTTCTGTTGAGGATAGTGAA